CAACTGTCACCGATAATTTTTAAATTCATTTAACTATTCTTTTCAACCTTTCAACCTCACTTCTATCTGGATAAACACTACGCGTGCCTTTGGAAAGTAGGTCGAAGACAAAAGTTTATTAGACGCTAAGAAGAAAAGATTAAACGTCTAGAACAGATTCAGTTCCCTTTCAGCTGTTTTTGTTGTTTAATGGTTTCTTCTAAGTCCCTAAATATTACTTAAATAAGTGAGGGTAACAAAAAGCCTAAATGACTGGTAACTGTCAAGTCTTTTACGTGTTTATGCTGCTGATTTTATTTCAAATAGAATGGGAAATGAGACAATGTAGGATATCAAAATATATCAAAAATTAAAATATTAGAAAAAAACTAATATTCATGCTAAAATCTCATGTTTAAATCTTCATCTGTTTTTCTCTTTATCAATCAATAAACAACACAAAACCACGATTTAATGTCTTTTCACGGGCAATAATTCATGATATAATTTTATAACAAAACAGACTATGTTGAATTTGATAAGAAACGTCCAATATGTTTTTGTTTCTTCTTCTTCTTCTTTGTGTGTGTTTTTAGTTTTTCTTTTTTATTAAACTGAACCGATCTTTTTGACCGGGACCTTTATCATGCTTCATGTTTCTAATGGACATATCGTTCTCTTTCTGAAAATCCAAGCCACCTTTTCGATGACGTAGCGTGGTTGAATTCAAATAGTTCTCATTTTATTTTGATTAGGCAATTCATAGGGACGTAAAAATATTCATATAATTGTTTACATATATAAGGAGTTTAAGTTTCGTCATTTAGTACCGGAACAGAACGGCTGAGAATAAAATGTTCTTTATTTATTTAATTACTATTGGTTTACTTGAAAAAGGATTTTAATTACAAAATTGACACATACCATCGGGTCGTGTTTGTCCTTTTATACTGAAAAATAACAGATAAAGATTATTTATGAAAATGTATAAATTTCATAAGATGGTAATGCTTTTCCGCAGAATTCGTGAAAGATATTTGAATGTTTCATTGAACGTTCTAAATATATTTCATTCAGTCCGGCATTTACATATATGGTACCGTATTTGTCACTAACATAATACGGAAATTTCTCTCCGTTGAAGCGTATTTGCGCTTCAATATTTGCGTGTATTTTAGTGAGAAAATTTATAGGTATATAATAAAGAATGTTATGATATATATCTATCAATAAATACATATTCATTGAAAATTGAGAAAAACTGATTAAATAAAATGCGTGTTTTCATTTTCGTATTTTCACTGTAAAAATATTTTGAGTGAGTTAAAACATATTTTCCGTATTTTCACTGATGTCTTGCCGGGCTACTTTCTTCTAAATTCAGCCAATTAACAAAATTTAAGGGGAAGTCTTTCAAATTGTAATGTCAAAAAAAGAGAAACATGTATATAATAAACAGAAAATTCAAGTTATCGCCACGAGTGAAATAATACACTTTTCTACCACTTGATAAATTTATCATAAACAGAAAATTCAATATACCGCCATGAATGAAATATCATACTTTTCAACCGGTTGATGAATTTATAGTTAAAAATAAACTTAAATTTCCTCTATTTCTATCAGCCTAATCTTATATCAACTGAGAATACATAAAAATACTTACCTTAATAGAAAGACAAATGTAAAGATGTAAATGTATGTATAAGTAGCCATTCTTCAAATACTCCAACTATTCACGGTAGCTTGCAATATTCACAATAAATGAAATTCATCCGGGATTTTAGATGCACTTTAAAAAGGAGAAATGCAAACAGCTGTTTCTCATGATGACAACTGTATTTAACTTTGACAAAACAACAAATATTGTCAGTGAAAAAAGTGCTTTAAATGACAAAGAGATACAATTCTGAACGTTATATAGGGATCATTTTGTTCTATCAGTGAGAATACTGAGATTTTCTTAATGGCTAACTAAGCCTCCGAAATGCTATCATTTTATTTCTCAAAAACCTTTTATGTTTGGTATTTTGTTACAGTCTTCAACAAATTTTAATTAGCGGACATATAGATGAGCAATCGCTTTCTCTTTCTTTTGTATAGTATTAAAACATGATTTAACAATGATTGACAATGACAAATGTTTATGATAGAATATGAAAACATACTCAAAAAGTAAAAAAGACTGCCCTTCTTCTTTTATAAATTCAACATATCTGATAATTTCCCGAAGGGTATAACAAGATATTCTTAGGGTCTCAGTGGCTAGGAAATAAATTATCGCATACATTATAGGGAATCTAAATTCGAATGCGATCCGTAAACAATTTTAAGGAGTATAGATTTATACAACAGCTGTGATATCAAATGATTGTCTTGTTTACTTAACTTTCATAAAGATTAATACTTACTCAATTGTACTGTAGTGATATCAAATCATGTTTGACAGCACGTAAACAGAAATAACTGTAACCCTTTTCTAAGCTGAATTTTATCAGACTTTTAATTCTTCCGAGGGATCACATTTTTCAGATATTTGTCCACTTTCAAATGTTGCAACTACCCATTGTCAATTTTGATTGCATTAAGATTAATCATTGATAAGCAAACAGTATATAGCCAGGTGAGCCTCCATTGTGCTGCCTTGACTGGCTCTATACAAGTGGCAAAAGATTATCACTTTTAGTTCCAGTAGTTTAAGGTTTTAAGAGGAGAACTGTCTATTGAAAAAGGAGAAACGACCTACAGAAATATTGCAGATATCTGATCTAAAGTTACAGGTATATAGAAATGTCCATGTGTGAGTCAGGGGCAAAGAACTCAAATGGTTGAAGAATATAAAGCGAAATCGTAGTGTCAGTAAATGGTAATTCTGATACAAATTAAATAAATTGTGAATATCCGATATGATGATAAACATAATGATGACCATCCTAATACAGAAGATGATGATCATCAATATACTTAAATAAATTGATGATTACGATGATGATGGTGATAATGACGATGTTAGTTATCTTGAAGATGATGATACCATGATAATGAAAATGACGATGATTATGATGATCATGGTGATAAAGATGTTAGTTTATATGTTGATCGCAATGATGATATGACAATAATACTGATGATGATAATGAATTTGATAATGGGTTAAAGATGACAATAATGATGATGATGATGATTATGATGATAAGACAATGATGATGACATTAAAATGATGATGGCAATGATGATGACAATGATGACAATGATGATGATGATGACGATGATGATGATGATGATGATGATGATGATGATAATGACGATAATGATGATTATGATGATGATGATGATTTTATGTTGTATTTTATATTTGTTAGTTTTTTATATTTTTTAACTCGTTAATCATTTATGTTTATTTCATAAAAGCAAAGTTTCGAATTGGCTAATCAAATATTTCGCGTCAAATGTTGCAAGTGCGACCGTACTCGTGCAAACATAATTCTAATTACATTTTGTGTCGCGATATTTTTTATATATTTGTCATATTTTGACACTCGGTTATGGAGAACAAAAAAAATCATTTAATATAATGATGAAAAGGTCTTATACGAAAAATCAAAATACAAATTTTATGAAAATTGTATTTTTTGCATTGTTAACAGACAAATATATATTTTATATAGACTTATTACCAAAACTTTATATTTGGTGGCGATTGAAGAAAAACAGTTGGCTTCAGGATCAGTTGCATAAGAATGGTGTGTATTTGAAGCAAATACAATACACAATATACATGTATAAGATAGACAATTAAGTGAAAACTAAATTGAGACTTTATTTAATACAATGCAACATGAAACATTTCATCGCCTACGAGCGCCTTATCATCATTCTCGGCGATTTCAGTGACTGCATCCCTTGGAAAGGATTAAATACCATTCCTGCCCTCCCTCCACTAGTAGAATGGACTGTCCCTGGTGTAATATAATCGCCGTTTAAATTAACATATGTACAAGGATCATACCAGTACCACCATTATCCGTGGCACTGTTGTGCATTGTTGATTGGATCATAATCATCGACATCGTGATCAAAGGTCGAGAAACGCCGGCCATTGCTGTAGTACAAACCATTTGCATCTCCTTATAAGGTAAATTTATAGAATTTAATAAAGGCAGGAAATTGTTTCATTTTTAGATGACTGAGGGAATGTATATAAATACCCATTAGAATTAACCTGTAACGTTCAGTTCATTTAAGGGTGGGGCAGTCCTTTTATATTTTCGGCAGATTTAAATTTTTACCTAAACATTTTCCAATATGAACTGTTGGCCAATCCCCATTTAAACAGTCAATCTTTTGAAATATATTGTCAGTTCAGCTCAACTTGACTATGAAAATATGAGCATAATGTCACTTTAACCCTTTACCTCATATATACGCGAAACAACGCACTTTCGCCCCCCCCCCCCTTTTAGGCCTGAAATAGTGAAAAAATGTCCTATTTGGGCCCCAAACACATGTTTTAGTTTGAGAAATGTTGCTAAAAAAGTGAGCACTTTTTCGCCGCTGGCCCCCAACCAAAAGGGTTGCCAGAAGGGGGATGTCAAGAAAATTGTGGACTTGTGAGAGGCTTAAAATGACCCCAGGTCGATCATAAGGTAACGTGTAACTAACGCTGAAAAGCCTTTGACTCTATCTCAATCCCTTGAGAAGTTGCAGCACTTTGAAATAAATTTTGATGGAAAAAATCGAAGCAAAATAGTGATTTTTGGCAATTTTGAGATATCCCCTCGTTGCCATGGTAACAGGAAATTTAAGACTGAGCATGTCGTTACAAAGGCAATGGTCCAGTCAACATTTGTGCCAAGTTAGATTAGTATTGAAGCATTTTTCATAGTTTCACAGCAGTTTGAACTTGTAAGAGGAGGCTTTTCAGTGAAAATGGCCATTTTTCACAATATGCTCATGGGGGAAAGGGTTAAGAAATTAATCTATAGCTCATACAAAATTTCACACGTCGGTACGAAATAAAAACTGTAAACATTGTACCTGTTGAGCCGAACCTTGATCGATGTATAGCCTATAGTCGCCTTCGTCTAAACGAAAGTTTGTGTATAGTTCAAACGCTTTGGAACCGTGTGCTGCTTCTACATCTATTCGTTATTCTGTCTTGCTTTGCGACGATAATTCAAATATATAATGAAGCCCTTGACAATAAAATAAAAACAGAACGATATGTTAGTAATATCGGATGCACCAAACAACAAGGTCGAAAATACTTCTTGTACTTTTTTTATGTTCATGTTATAAATAAGTTTTGATATTTGTTTCAACCAACTTAGATTAAATTAAACAATCTTTTAATCTTACATTATTTATCATGCTCAATGCAACATGTGTTTTATTTCGTTTTTACACTGTGTCCATTTAAATTGATTTTTACTATTTTTGAAAACGATTGTTTATAGCTATAAAGATATTTAGCAAAACAAACTTTTTTTTGTTTCAACTGAACTGAGATGAAAACACAGGGATGGAAACTCGTATGGATCTCAAAAATGATAATCGGTAAAATGAATATGTGAATTTCCGCTGCTCCATATGTGAAGCATAACACCAGATGTAACAGTAAAATTAGATCAATCGCAAGGTAAGTTTTCAACTTTTTAAACAGGTATATATAATTCAAACCTTTTTTAAGAAAATCGGAATGTGATTCTACCCTCCTGACTCTCTTCTATATTACCCAATTTGGAATTATATTTCTATGCGGTCTTCTTCGAGATATTTTTCCGTCGTGGGTTCTGGGTGTGCAATGTGTATGAATAAAATGTTACTAAACGGACTCAAAATACAAAAATTTTAAGAAATATCACCAAAGAACATTCAGACAAATCCTGATTTAAACATTGAAATATGGAAAATTGGCTAAAACGAAAAATCGCTGCTCAAAATTGCATTTGAGCTCCATATGTGCTAAAGAGATACATACATGATATAGAAAACCATCTACAAAACTACAGAGCACTTCCATATAAACATTAAATAGCAAATGTAAGGGAACAATGAAGGTTTCGTAGTTTTGGCTGAAAGTTTTATAGTAACATTATTGTGTTTGATCACCACAATAACAGGGCTTACAAGCTAATAATAGCATTAGAAATACTAAAAGGCCCGAGTACATGAAAATGTTGACCCGGAGCAGATAGTACAATATCACTAATAAAGGATATGGAACTTGGAAAAGTCAAACTGATAGTATTAAACTTTGTACAGCTATCGTATCATATAATATGTTTCTATAAAAGATGTTTATATTCATAAAAATATTTATCACTTTAAGATTCCACAAGTCATAGTTATAGCGACCAGACTGTTATATGGAAATATCATTGCTTCCCTTCATAAATTAAATTCCCCACTCGGAACCTCGATTACTTGTTATGTAACATGTCAATGACCGATATTGTAAACCCTATACCATATGAGCCAATCAGAAGTATGTTGAGTGTTCCTGATTGGTTAGATGACGCATAAAACGCATAAAACATTGCTGTTAATGATTGAAACGCGCCAGTATAACGCTAACCAGCGTTTGTTCAACCGTTTAGTTGACATGCCAAAAGGTGGATCTTTTTCAATAAAAACAATTATTAACGATAATTGTTTGTTTCTCATTTCTCGTGGACTTGAAATGGATAATATTACAAGTAATGCTACTCATGAAAAGATTTATAGAGGCAGTGCTTCCAATCGCCAAATTACAATTAGGAAAACAGTTTATAAACATCGGTTGTTTATTGTGTTGAGATTGTTGTTGAGATTTTGAAATTTATTACATGCTTTTCGGTGGTTTATAGAAATATATCAGAGATATAAAACTGGTAATTTCACTGTTTGAAACAATGAAATTACCACTTTGATAATTTCACTGTTTTGAATTTAAGCCCCTAACGTTGTTTCAGTGAAATACCAGCGTGCACAGTACTGGGTACCAACTAAATGACGTGACGTCGTAAATGACGTCACGTTGTATTATTATTTGGCGCGCTTTTCATTCAGTATTAGGTTTAATGTCTTTTTAAAAAGTTTATTTGCATATAATAAAAAGAAAATTTGTTTAGTTTAGTGTAAGATCGAAATATATTTCACCTTGTGAACACCAAAAGTTCATATTTCACTTGTGGCTGCGCCACTCGTGAAATATACCTTTTGGTGCTCACTCGGTGAAATATATTCCGATCTTACACTGAGCTAAACAAATATCCTCTATATCTCTGGATTTTGAGTCCATTTAGTGACATTTTCTTCATACGCATTGCATGTTTTGGACACATCAGCACCCACGACGGAAAGAATATCTCGATGAAGACTGCATAGAAATCCAATACAAAAATTTGTAATATAGAGGAGAGTCAGGAGGGTAAATCACATTTCGATTTTCTTTTTAAAAGGTTTGAATTATATATAACTTTTTAAAAAAAATGAAAACTTATCTTGCGATTCACCTAATTTCTCTGGTGTTATGCTTCACATTTGGAGCAGCAGAAATTCACATATACTTTTTACCGATGCTCATTTTTGAGATCCGTATGGGAATCCACCCCCGTGGAAAAGCTTACCTTTTAAATTTACATTAAAATTAATTTCTGATAAAATTTTTGTCAAATCTGTATGTAAAACAGGCACAGGCGTACTGAAATCATACCTAGCCAGAATTCGCCGTTACTATGTCCAAAACCAACGGTGTAATTAGCATGATTCCGGTAGAAGTCCACTGAACCATTAAACCGTCTTTGGAACACCTGTGATCAGAAACAGTCTTATCATTTTCGAAGTCTGACAATGGTATTATAAGCCTCAATATGCGATTAATATTGAATTATGTATAGTATTGCACCGGCTTATACAATAATCATTTGATTGAGTCTGTTCATGAGAGATAATAAAAGGGCAGCATATCTAACGTCCCCTAGCTCCGGCTCAGCGGGCGTTGGATAATAGTGGTAGCACATCCGATTTCACAAATAAATATACATTTTATTATATTTTTCTCTTGCTTTGCTTATCATTTTAGAATATCATAATGATAAAAATAACGTTTAATTGAATTAACAGGATTCTCAATAAACGCTGTTTACAAGACATTAATTTACTATCAAAACGGCCATCGCAATTATTAATTTTCACTTATAGCCAAATGTATGGTCCGTAGAATATATTTTAACAGGAAAAATAAAAGAAGTACATTAAACATGAAATATGCTTAAATGGTGTAAATACGTGTCTGCGGATGTTTAGCAGAAAGTATATATCGAAAGAAGCAGTCTTGAGCTACGATATTTGTTGCATTGTAAATCTTAATACAATAAAGAGATATTTCCATATAAATTGCCGTTTTTTGTGGGTAAATGCAACGTAGGATTTGTCATGTTTTATTTATGTTTTGTTCCCTGACAATATAATAAGTATGCAATTGATATGCTAATAAAACCGGGAAACATTACATTATCTTATAGCTGTACTATTTTATGTTATTCTAATAAATGTCACATCAGACTATTTCTTTCCTCCTATAGAAAGTTGGTAGTTATAAAGTTCATCTTGATTCTCTATTTTTAAATACAGACTCCGTATTTGCAAGAATACAAAATTTCATATACTTGAATGTAATTAATTAGAAATGTATCACCATGCCACGGCTGTCTCCGCATGCAGCCAAAATTTCAAATGTTATAATATTTAGTTCAAAATTCGTTTGCACAAACTTTTTTTTCATTCTAAGTTCAAAACCCTTAAAACTGTTCAATGTTTACGCAATCCATTTGATACAAAGTTCAAAGCACTGAAACTATTCAGTGTTAACTTTTTGTAACTTACAAATTGCATATTTGTAGTCAAAGTAATGACTACATACATTTCCGCAAAAGTATGAGTGCTGAAACTGAAAAAGATTTTTTCCCAACATTCAAGGGAGATAATCTGTCCAAAGTCATTGAATCACGACCAAATTCAAACTTCAACTGCTTATTCCTAAGATGTAATTATAAGTCAAATTTGAGTTGAATGTGTACAACCATTGCGGAGGTAATTGTCGGAGACTAAAAATTTCTGATTTATTTTCAAAGTTCAAGTGGCATAACTCTGTCAGCTATCACCAAACCATGACCAAATTCGAACATGAACAGTGTATTCTTATGACATATCCATATATTAAATTTGAGTTGAATATGTACAACTGGTGGGGAGATAAAGAACGGAAACTGAAAATTTCTTCTTTTTTCAAAGTTCAAGAGGGATGAATCTGTCAAAAATCATCAAACCATGACCAAATTTGATCTTGACCTGCACATTCTTATGACATATTGATAAATTAAATTTTAGTTGAATGTGTAAAACTGTTGTGGAAAATGAACAGAAACTGAACATTTCTTATTTTTTCAAAGTTAAGGGGAATAACTCTGCCTAAAATCACTGAACCATGACAAAATTCGACTTTGACCTACACATTCCTATGGCATATACATATCTTAAATTTGAGTTGAATATGTACACCCGTTGGGTAGATAATGAAAAGAAACTGATTTTTTTTCAAAGTGGAAGGGGCATAACTCCTTTGACATATCCATATATCAAATTTGAGTTTAATGTGTACATCTATTGGGAAGATAATGAACGGAAACTGAAAATGTAACTGAAACTGTATTTTTTTTACAAAGTGAAAGAGGCATAACTCTGCCTAAATTAATTAAAGAATGACCAAATTCGAACTTGGTCTGCGCATTTCATTGAAGTATCCATGTCACATTTGAGTTGAATGTGTAAGCCGTTGGGGAGAAAATGAACGGAAACTTAAAAGTTTATCAAGAGGTATAACTCTGTCAAAGATCATCGGACCATGACCAAATTCAAATTTTACCAGTATTTTCTTATGATATATCCATATGTTTAATTTGAGTTGAATTTATGCAACCGTTACTAAGATAATGAACAGAAACTGGTGATGACCGAATGACAGAAGGGCGGAAGGATGGGAGGACGAAAGGGCGGAATGACGGAACAGGGTAACACTACATGCCCCGGCCATTTTATTGTTGAGGCATAAAAATCCGTATTCTAGTATAATACGGACTTCGTACAACAATGTCACCGTATATGACGAGTGCACGGTATATAAGTCATATACGTATTGCAAGATAAACGGTCCTGTACATCTCCGTATATTCATAATTACGGAAATCCGTACACATCCGTGTCTCCATATATTTTCTGCTATGGTCTTAATGGCGTTGGATGCCGTTTATAGTATAGGATTTTTACACAGGGCGATCTTTTACTGACAAACAAGATAGCAACACGCTGTGATAGCGTTACATTTATCAAAAGAAGTGGGGGAAATAAAATCACGTGTTGCAAAATATTTGAGTGGGTGACCCCGTGTTTATTTTGGCAATTTAGACTGGGTATACGTTTTACAGGCCGTTATAAGAAAAATATCAAAAATTATTTCATGATTTGTTTTATCAGCCGCATTAAAGCCGAAAAATGAGGCCAAACTGAACGTGTCTCCATATATTTTCTGCTATGGTCTTAATGGCGTGGGATGCCGTTTATTGTATAGGATTTTTACACAGGGCGATCTTTTACTGACAAACAAGATAGCAACACGCTGTGATAGCGTTATTTATCAAAAGAAGTGGGGGAAATAAAATCACGTGTTGCAAAATATTTGAGTGGGTGACCCCCTGTTTATTTTGGCAATTTAGACTGAGTATACGTTTTACAGGACGTTAAAAGAAAAAGATCAAAAATTATTTCATGATTTGTTTTATCAGCCGCTTTAAAGCCGAAAAATGAGGCCAAACTGAACGTCAAAATGTACACAAAATTGACAATTGTCTTTCCATTTTTCAAACATTTTTTGTGCGCCAAAACAGCTTAATATTGAAAATACATGACTTATTTCCGTCCTCGAATACTTGTAGAATGTATAGCATTATGTTAGCCGATGCGTTTGGTGATACCCCGTAACAGTGCCAAGCCATTTTAGCAAAACTACGGCACATTTCTTAAATCCGGGCTTTTGGTGCGTCAACCTTTCAGTTGACGCCATGTGTTACAAAAAAGAGCTGACCACTATGGAATAAAATCAACGGAATCTAGTCTGAAATATGGTTACCTTTTTACATGCCAATTTTCAAGACGCTATTCAAGAATTAGCAAATTGGCACGTTCCACCTTACGGTTGCTATAGATAATTGAATAGATTGTATTTGCCATCATATAGAGAAGTGTTCCAGCTTTGTAAATTCGTTACATGACTGGCGAGTTTTTTTCTGTATAGTGTACGTAAAACACACAATGTGCGACCAACTGCTTCAACACCGTTCGTCCGATTTCGTTGCCGATTCGATTTTGTACAAGTTTGAAGGGTCACCTTTACAGAAACGTAAAGCTCAAAGCCCTAACCCAAGTAAAACGTCCGTGAAAAGTTACAAAGAATTTTGACAGATTGTATGGTCAAGTATAATCTTAGAATCCTACAAGTGTTGATGCTGGGCAAAATAGGCCGACAAATATCTATATATCTAAATACAAATGTATATTTATATTGGTAATTTATATCTAGCTCGATGATTGTTTCATATTTACACACTTCTTCGTTTTACAAATATAGAACTCTTTTAGTGTGATGACAAGTCAAGTTTAACGACCTTGACCTCCTGGGTTTTGAACCGCCGATAAAGTTCTAAGTCACATAAACTTGTGGGTACACATAACTCTTTTGAAAATTTTACAGTTACTCTTAGGTTTGTACAGCTAATACTACTAGCCTAAGAGCTTAGGGTTATTTCATCAAAATTTTTGTCTTAATGTGAGGCTTACATCAGAGCAAGTACATAGTTTCTCTTTTACAAAAACAAAATCTTACCAAGTGTTGCTTTCAAAACGCTTCGGAATCCAAGATGGCGTCCAATATGTCCGCCGATTCTTTGCAAAAACGGGTAATTATCTTATTATAGTAGATTTTACAGCACAGATTATCCTGTTTTCAATACAAATGTATACAAACATTTCGGAAATAGTATGTTTTTCCCTGATTTTGGGACGAAATTACCCCACTCACTTTAACCAAGTATAAAATTTACAAATAATGCGATTTCTTACAATGATTGCACCTTGCACATATACTATTTATGAAAAACAAAACAATATTAGAATTTTAGTAGTTTCTTGGAACATTTTAGGTAACCGTTTTTTTTTAAATGTGCAAGAAAGGGCATTTTTCTTTGATATTTTGAAAATTTTAATACATTGAACAAAAACCTGAAATATATGTATTTAATTGTTATTCAATTATAATTTGATTATTTCCGCAATGTTAGTATACCTTTGTATTGAAAACGACAAATATGTGTTGTAAAACCTACCATAAAAATCTACCATAATAAGAAATATACACGTTTTGCATAGAATCGGCGACCCTATTGGATTCTGAAGCGTTGTGAAAGGAACATTTTGTAAGTTTTGGATTTTTGTAATTTAAAGGAGAAACTTAATACTTGCTTTGGTATCAGATTTGCACAACAATTTGTATTTAATGGCCCTTAGGTCTTATGCCAACAATTTTGATCAATAGCCAATTTTAGACTATATTTGCACAAGTTGTTGCGCTCGCACAGATGCTTTGAATCCGTACTGCTTGATTATTATTGCCAAATTACAAAACAACACTTTTTGAAATAATTATCTTGTTTCACTGTGCAATGTGATAACTACATATTTGTAAACCTACCGACCATCCGCCGCCGGCAGTATCTAAATCGCAGTATATTTCTTTATAGACTTTAGATTTCCACAGCCGGATTCCATATATACCATTTCTTTGACCAACATTTTCTGAATGTCAAAACAATCAGATGCTGGAAGTGAAAGAAAACACGTACTACGAGGGTTGATCAATAAATTCGTGGACACACTCCATAAATTGTTTTTTTGGGGAAGGAAAGTTAATATAATTATATTTGACATTTATTCAATTATTTATCAATTTGATGTGTAAGTTTCAGATAAATAATCCATATATTTTATCTGAAATGACAGTTTTCAGAAATACATGTAAAGCTGATCGCCGCAGCTCATTTGCAACTTACGTTACGTCGTGACGTCGGGGTTACATCTTCTCAAAAACAATGCAGCACCAACTTCTACACATCGTTCATGTCTGTGTACCCACCGACTGAAAATGTTCTTATACAATGAAGTATCAAATGAACGCAACACAGACAATGCTATGGACTGCAAATCATGGAACCCGGTTAACTTGTGTCCCTTTAACTCTGCCTTCAATTTCACTCGCATAACGTTCGCATCGCAACAAGTTTTAATTGGTCTGCCGCATCTCATTTCATCTTGAAGTTCTTCTCTACCCTCACAGAAGTGTATGTGTCACTTATAAACTAACGAATAGGACACTTTTTTGTTCCAGATACAATTTCCATGTTTTCTTTAGTCTGCTGTGGCGTCATACCAAGATTTACACAGACTTAATTACTGCCCTCTGCTCCAACAATGTCGTGCTCCTCTCTGGTGACACACCCCTGTCTCCATTAACATCTCCAACAAACAAAAGAAATAGTAGCGACGCTTGCTTTTTTAAATGTTCTATAAACAATATGAAAGAACGTTGCCGTCATTTTCATATTTTAAAGAAGCACGCCAAAATAAGGACACTTTTTAAGTATTTCAAAATGGTAAATATAACTTTTTTTTGAGCTGCGGCGTTCGTACGGTATAGGGTTGCTATGGCGATACATATAATGAACAAAATGAGTTTTGTTTTTAAAAAATCACAATATATTTGAATAGTATTAAATTCTTCTCCTAAATAGCAAAAAATCTTTATAATATCTTGATTAATTATGAAGTTAATAATAGTGTCCATGAATATATTGATCAACCCT